AAGTCAGACGCTTAACTGACTGAGCCACCCAGGCGCCCCTCTCCCTTTTCTTCTCTGCCAACCCCACCCTTCCTACCGCCAGCGAAACCTGCCAGGTCCCAGCCCACCTTCCTGACAAACTCGGCTCCTTTCACGCTAGTTCATCCCACCTCCTAGCTGTTCTGCCTGTTTCTATTCCCGGCGCATTCTCCACATGGGAAGTTAGCGTACTTGGAATACAATCCAACCTCGTTCCTCAACACGGTCATCTACCGATTTTCAACCCTGCCTACATGCCTTAGGATCACCTGGAGGGGCTTACAAAGAAAACAAAAACGCTCACACATCAGCCTAACAAATTCAGGTTGAAGTGCCCTCGGTAGAGACCCAGACATCCATCTGTTTTATGAGTCTGAGTTGAGGGGTGCCTGGGTGGCTCAGTCGGTTAAGCATCCAACTCTCAATTTCGGTGCAGGGGATGACCTCACGTTTTCATGGGTTCCAGCCCCATGTTGGGCTCTGCACTGACCCTGCGTGGAGACTGCTTGGGATTCTCTCTCTCTCTCTCTCTCTCTCTCTCTCTCTCTCTCTCTCTTCCCCTGCCCCAGCTCCTGCTCTCACTGCCTCTTTCATAATAAATAAACTAAAAAATTACCAAAAGCCCGAGTTGAAAACGACTCCAAGCTCATCTCCCAACTGCCCTCCCCCTTCCATCAGTCATTAATTGATTGATGGCCTCCTGGCGGTTCCTTGGGCATTGCCAAGTTTGTTTCCACCTCCAGGCCTTTGCCCTTGCTCTTGCCTCTGTCTACAATGCCACCCCGCAGCCTCCTTTGAGTAACGGGAACAATCTGTGTCACGACCTTTGGTCAGTGACGTTTGCTTTTCCAAGAGGCACCCTCTCCTTATTCATGAAAATTCCACCTGTTCCCGCGAGAGCCACACCCTTATCCAAATGATGGGAGAATAGGGCAAGTCTATATCCCGCATAACGCTACATTCCACCCCTCAGCCCACTCGACAAACACCCTACTTGACAAACCCTACAAAGAACACAAGGGCCTGTGTCCGGGGAGTGTCCTGGGGCGCGACAGCTGTCCTAGTTGATGTTGTTTTAAGTAAAGCTGTCCTTACGCTGACTCCAGCTGATCTTGGAACGTTTGTTCTCTTTGGGCACTTGCTGGTCGATCACCTTGCCTTTCCACTGAACAGACGACGACAGAAAAATGACAAGCCACCCCCCTCTTCTTTTGGCGGGGGAGGATCTGGTGTCTTCCTGGTCTGCATTTCTGTGGGTGGTGCGGGCACTGGCAAGACCAATAAGAAGTGATCCGCTCCCTTCACCGTGGGGGGAGCTCTATGGAGGAACGAGCTTTCGCTTCTGGCCAGCACCCCTGAGTTCTAGTTCTTTCTCCACTGTTTTTTAGTCATGTGACCTTGGCCGTGTTGTTCAATCTTTATGAGCATTTAAGATGGAAATAACAATCCTACCTTGCTGATAACAGTCTGTTCTCAAGCGCAGTTGTAACTAGATTTAAAAATCTAGTCTCGAGCGCATGGGTGGCTCAGTCACTTAAGCATCGGGCTCTTGGTTTCGGTTGGGGTCACGATCTCGTGGTTTGTGGGTTCGAGCCCTGCATGGGGCTCTGTGCTGACCGTGTGGAGCCTGCTTGGGATTCTCTCTCTATCTCTCCCTCTCTGCCTCTTCCCTGCTGGCTCTCTCAAATTCCCACACACTGGCTGCATCCCAAGGAAGTGGCTTTCTATGTTTGGAATAGGTTGAAGAGAAAGGCCACGTTTCCTCAGGGTCCTTGTACCTTAGCGAGCTCTGCAGAGTTCCAAACCCTGTCTGGTCTTATCTGTGGCATCACACTTTCTACCCAGATTTATATATTGTGCGCCTCAGCTGATCACGTGAATGGATGAGACTAGTAGTTGGGAAAGCTGTATGAGTGTCACACGCTGTCTCCTAATGATGTGGCTTGAAACAGAACTGGGGGGTGGGGCGCCTGGGTGGCACAGTCGGTTAAGCGTCCAACTTCAGCCAGGTCACGATCTCACGGTCCGTTGAGTTCGAGCCCCGCGTCAGGCTCTGGGCTGATGGCTCGGAGCCTGGAGCCTGTTTCCGATTCTGTGTCTCCCTCTCTCTCTGCCCCTCCCCCGTTCATGCTCTGTCTCTCTCTGTCCCAAAAATAAATAAAACGTTGAAACAGAACTGGGTGGTATTGATCCGACTGACCGACCAACTGACCTCTAATACCACGAAACTAGTTCCTGAGATAACCGGATGTGTGGCAGACATTCTGTGCCCACGGGGACAGCTGAGGTCGACACAGATGCAGTAATCTGTCCCGAAGCACAGAGTGAGAAGTTTCTCGGGGCTACGTGGGTAGGAAATCGGCTGGTTGGGATCTGGAGGGACTATCAGTGGACACCCAGAAAGACCGTCAACCCCCAAAGCAGCAGCCCGTGATACATACCCGCAGAGAACGTCACAGAGAAAACTGAGGTAAAATCCGGGAATCCGATCAGATGCAGAGAATGTGGATACAGAATAATGTACAAGAAAAGGACTAAAAAATTGGTTATTTTTGAGGCTCGATGAAATATAAAATTCAGAGGATTATGTTGGTTTGTATTTGGATCTGCTGTTAATGTTGCATAACTTTCGATTAGTGTGTTTATGAGTACGACTACACACACATGATTTCATTTTATTTTATTACTTTTTACATGGTTTCATTTTAAAATTAAAAAAAAAAAAAAAAGATTGACAGAGGGGTGCCTGGGTGGCTCAGTTAAGCATCCGACTTTGGCTCAGGTCATGATCAAACAGTTCATGAGTTCAAGCCCCGCGGGTTTCTGTGCTGATGCCTGGAGCTTGCCTTGGATTCTGTGTCCCCCTCTCTCTCTGTTCCTCCCTCTCTCACACTCTGTTTCTCTCTCTCTCTCAAAAATAAATAAACATTAAAAAATAAAAAATCTTTTAAAAAAGATTAACAGAGAGCGATAGAACATAAAGATGGAAAGAACCAGGGTCCTCGGTGGTTTTGTGGAGTTACTCAATTTACCGATCCTGGAGTCCTCGGCCACCTTCCCGTTATTTATATATCTCTTTGGCTGATTTGCTTGTAAGATCAAGGGCTATTAACAATTTGTCATACACTTGGCCGATATTTTTTTCCCTCTCTGCAATTCGTCTTTTAATGTAGTTTATTGGGTGGTTTTCTATCTTGGAATTTTCTAGTATTATATTGTCAAGTCTTGTCATCTGTTTCCTTTATGGTATCTGACTTTTGGTCTTACTTTAAAAAGCCTTCACTGGGGGTGCCTGGGAGGTGCACTCGGTTGAGCATCAGATTCTTGACCTTGGCTGGGGTCATGCTCTTACAGTTCGTGAGTTCAAGCCCTGCTTGAACTCGGTGCTGATGGTGTGGAGCCTGCTTGGGATTCTCTCTCTCTCCCTCTCTCTCTGCCCCTCCCCTGCTCGTTTTCTCACTCTCTATCAAAATAAATGAATAAACTGAAAAAAAAAATGGACATGAGCTGGATTTGGCCCATGGGCCATACCTCGCTGGCCCCTAGTGTACATCCTGTGGGTGCTTCCCCACGGCCCCTGCCCTCTCCCCCATTGTGTTAGCGGCTAGGTTTGGAGGCAACTGACCTGCCCTCCTAGCTCTAGGTGGAGCATAACTGTTTTAACCTAAAAAGTTGATTCCTGTCATCTTGCTACAGTGATTGCTTCTGGATACTCAGCCCTAAGTCAGTCACACCCCGGCCAGTGTGACTAAATTGATATCTGAACCAGTTCAGGCCAATGAGTTGCAAAGGGAGATTAACTGGGGCTTTGGGGAAAGATGCATCCTTCTTCTTGTGGGAGGCCTACTGGACGCTGTTCCTTTCTCCCCTTCTGGAAGATCTGGGAGCCTGTCATTCAGGGTCCCTGGTTGCATGAAACAAAAAATAATTTGGTGCAATTGAAGCACAAATGGACTTTATTATGAGGGTCCTGGGTAGTTTACAAACTCTATAGGAGCAGTAGGAATCTCTAGAAGGAAGAGGCTTGGAGTCTGAACAGCCAGGGAAAATCCCACTGCTGTAGACCACAGTGGAGCCGGAGCCATGTGCCAGGGAAGCGGAGACAGGGGTGGCTTGACATCTCAGCCTCTGTAGCAGGAGGAGGGCTCTGCCTGATGAGGTGGGAGAGTCCTTAAACACTGAGATTCAGATCTTGGGAGACCAAAAAGGTTGAAAAATGACCCCTGTTATGGACTGAAGGTGTTTGTCCATCCAAAATTCATGTGTTGAGGTGCCATCCCCCCAATGTGATGGTATTTGGAGGCGGGGCCTTTGGAGGTAACTAGGGTTTCGATGAGGTCATAAGGGCGGAGTCCTTATGATAGGATTAGTGCCTTATAAGAAGTTGAGAACTAGCTCTCTTTGCAGTGTGAGATGCCTGGAGAAGACAGGGAGAGGGAACCAAATCAGCTGGCATCCTGGACTTCCCAGACTCTAGAAGCGTCAGACATAATGTTTGTTGTATAAGACACCTGGTTTATGGCATTTTGTTATAGGAGCCCAAAGAGACTAGTACAACCTCTGAAGAATGACAAACAACATAGCCATGTTGCCACCATGAAGAAGCGAACTTGGAATAAAGCTGCCCCCAGAGACTGAAACCAGGTCCTCTGTGACATCTTTAGCCCATTGGATTCAGGCTTCTCTGACGCACACTCTGTCTTGAGACCATTATTGCACGACGCAGCACAGTCCCCTTCTTTTAATGTTGTTGTTGGTTCAATTTGCATTTTTTTCTATCACTTGCTGAATAAAGAACCCCTGCCTGATGAGGGGTAAAGGGAAGACTTGGGGGGGGGGAGGGGTGGTGGTGGCGGTAACAGTCCCAGAGAGGGGGAAGAAGCTTAGAGTAGACCATTGGGCTGATGGTTTATTAATCAGGCCTCTGGGTGCAATTGACAGAAACACATCTTGAATGTGTTCAAGTCACAAAGGGGAAATTAATGGTTTGGGGTCATTTACTGAATACATCTTTATGAAGCACCTACCATATGCTGGGCACCGTGCTAAGCACTGAGGATACAGATCAAAACAGACAAAATAACCTTACCCTCATGGAGCTGACATGAGCAAATAAACACAGAGTGTGTTAGATGGCAATAAGGGCTATACACAAAAGGAAGGGAAGGGAAATAGGGACTTGCTGGGGAAAGTGACTGCAGTTTTAAACAGGTGGTCAGGGAGTTATTTGAATAAGGGTGGTATTTGAATAAGGAAGGAGGTTGAAATTTTCCAAGGAAGGAAGGAAGGAAGGAAGGAAGGAAGGAAGGAAGGAAAAAAAGAAAAGGAAAGGAAAGGAAACAAAAGGAAAGAAAAAGCAAGACCAAGTATAAATCCCCGAGGCAGTGTCAGAGCAACAGTGAGGAAGTCAGCATTTTGGCTCCGGCAAGACCAGCGGAGGGAAGAGAAGGAAGAGTTGGGATCAGAATGGTATCAGGGCTCCGATCTTCATGCTGAGCCATTCATTTATTAAATATTTTACCTCGTGGCAAAATCACACACCATCCTCCAAGCAGAGAGATGCTCATACGTGGAGGGAGCCGGAGACAGCTAACAGTGTCAGAAGCACAGGAAAGCCCGTAAGCCTGCTTCGTTGTCCATCGGGAGTCGCTCTGGCCAGTTCCTGTGCCAGGTCTGTGAGCCGAGGATGATGCAACGGACCATCCGAGTTCTGCTGAGGATTCTGGTTTCATCCCTCCTGATGGACCAAGCGTGATTCAATCCCGATGGTCCAAGCAGGACAGACTCTTTTCGTCCCCCACAAACTCTCTAAGGGGTCGCATCTCTGGTGCCCACTCGGTGGGTCAGCTAAGCAACAAATGTGGGCGTGACAGTTGTGGGTGGAAAGAGTCTGAGCCGGGCCCCGGAGGACTCGCGTATTTTGGAACCTTGATCTTTAAGATTTGCCCCGCCTCCTCTCGAAGGGGCGGAGCGACGAGGGCAGCTGTCACCGCCTTCGCACCACCCGGCCAGCTCTCACGTGGGTTGGGCCGCTCAGTAACAGCTCTTCTTCCGGGACTTCCTGGTCTTCGCGACCAATCAGAGTGCTCTTCCTGTCCTGACCATTGTCAGCCGGCTGCCAATCGCGCGCCTCTACCAACGCCCCTTAAAGGCGCCGCCGACGCCGCCTGAGCCGGGGCTGATCAGTTTCTCGGTTCCTGCCCCCAACTGCGGCATGGAGTCGTCCCAGGGGCGGCCTGGGCCCGAGGCGGACCTCCCGGCTGTAGGGGAGCAGCAAGCCGTGATCTTCGGCGGCGGGCCGGGCCGAACCCCCTCTGAGCCGCCCTCAGGCCTCCCGGCGTCTGGGCAGGAAGAGGCCGAGAACGTTGAGGGCGCGAGCCGCCACCCCGGGGCGTCCCCGAAGACTTCCAGCCGCGGCGCCGTCCACCGGGCCGAGCGGGAGGCTCGGGACGACGAGCCCGGCCGCGGAGGGACGCGGTCCGGGCCGGGTAGCCGCCGGGGGGCGCCGGGCCCTGAGCCCGACCCCCACGGGTCCTCCCGGCTGAAGGACCCGGAGCCACCGGAGGACGAGCTTGCATCCGAGAGCGGCTGCCGTCGAGGGAGCCCGGGAGGCAGCGGGATGGAGGTGGAGCCGCAGGAGGAAGACGAGGAGGCGGCGGCGGCGGCTGGCAGGGCTGGCCGCTCGTTCTCCAGCCGCCTTCAGGACAGCCGCAGCCTGGACGGGCTGAGCGGGGCGTGCGGCGGTACCGGGTCCGCAGGGGGTGCTGAGCCCGGCGCGGGCGGCGGGCGCCGCGCCACCATCTCCAGCCCCCTGGAGCTCGAAGGCACCGTGAGCCGCCATGGCGACCTCACCCACTTCGTCGCCAACAACCTGCAGCTCAAGATTCGTCTGAGCGGCGCCCCTCAGCCCCCGCCCCCTGCCCCTGCGCGGCCCTGCGCGGCGCCCGCACCGACTCCCGCCATTCCTCCCATCGACCCCGACGTGCTGCGGGACCTGGAGCGGCTGAGTCGGGAGCTGGGCGGCAGGGTGGACCGTCTGCTGCGCGGGCTGGGTGGCGCGGTGCAGGAGCTGACAGCGCTGAGCGTGGGCTGCATCCAGACCTACCGCGACGCCGTGGACTCCCTAGGCGAAGCCGTGGACATGAGCATCAAGGGCATGTACACCCTGCTGGCCCGCTGTGAGGAGCTGGAGCGGGCGCTGCAGCCAGTTCAGGGGCTGGCGCGCCAAGTCCGGGATATCCGACGCACCCTGGAGGTGTTGGAGGCCCTGTGCAAGTGACCGGGAGGGCAGGACAGGGCTGGCCAAGCCGGGGCCCAGCAGGATCCTAAGGACTCAAGGAGCCCTGGTGGGAACTGCCCGCCGAGGGGAGGCCTATATACTGGAGGCTCTTCCAGATGCATTTAGCAGGCCTGCGACCACTCGCTGGGCCTTATTCAGGTGTATGTGGGGAAGTTCTGAAGCCTTCCCCGGTGGGAGGGGATGATGCTCTGCTTCTATTAAGTTGGCCATCTGTAGCTACCTTGTTCTCAACTCTCTTCTCCAGCTAGAGCACCGTCTCTGGGAACCCAGGGCTTTAGGTCTCGGCTTGGGAGACGTGACTGCCATATGTGGTCCAGAAAGGAGAACAGAGGAGGCCCCAGCCCCCACTGTGGCCACCCTGATTCCCATGGCCACATCTCAGGTGCCAGGGGCTGTGGGAGGTTGAGTGGTCCTTGGCCACACACCATGGAGACAAGGATGCACACCCCCTGCTTCTGCCCTCTGGCCCCCTACCATCCCACCTCCCCAGCCAGACCCGGGGTGGAGCTAGACGGAATGCATTGCATGGTAGAGGGGGGTGAGGTGGGAGGGGTCTCGCTGCTCTCAGGGTTCAGGCAGAATTGTTGCTGGTTTTGAAGCCCACCTATTGTGGAGTGTTCTAATCAGCTTTGGCTTTCTGAGTTTTTGTGGAATTAAAGTCCTGCTGCTAAGGCTCAGGTGTGTTTGTGTGGGCTCACAGGGGTGATAAGCTGAAGGAACGGGGATGAGGGTCGGTCTTTTTCACGGAGCTCTCCTGGCAGATGCTGGGAGAGGGGCGGGGGTCCCAGGCTACCTGGGCAAGGGTATGGCTCCTGCTCTTAGGCAGCCCTGCCATCTGAGGAGATGTGCAAGACACAGACATGGGCTCAAAGATCCATTAAAGCAGAAACACAAGCAGGGTGCCCCACTATCTGTCAGGGTCCTCTTAAATCTTGAAGCGGGACCTTAGGTCTGTAGGGAAGGGGTCCTCTTAGATCTTGAAGCGGACAGGCAAGGACTGGGTGACCTCTTGGCTGGGAAGACTGGAAACACCTGTTACCTCCATTCCTGACCCCGTTTCCCACATGCTGCTGCTCAGTGTCCTATTTGCCCCAACCTCTCCAAGCCTTCTGTTCACAGTTCATATAGTAAGATCCCGGAGCCCCCAGGTTATGGGCAGGAGAGTTACAAATAGAGATATAAGAAAAAACTCCAGTTTTATGAAACTTTCCTCCTCCCCCGCCCCCAAGGCAATAGCATCTTGGATTGAATCTCATTACGTTTCTATTTTGGGTGTGAAAAGTTCTGGGATTCAAAACGTTGCTCTGCAAACCTTCCCCGGTAACAAGAAATTAACAGTACGAAGTTTTACGGAGAGGGGAGGAAAGGAAAAGAAAGGAACCGCTTCTGGCCCGTACGGGGATCGAACCCGCGACCTTGGCGTTATTAGCACCACGCTCTAACCAACTGAGCTAACCGGCCAGCTGATGCTAGCGCCTCAAACTGGAGCCATGTAGAATTCATCTTGTTGGTCCGTCCTGCCTGTAGGAAAATTTGAAAATGGGTAGGATCATTTGGGGGGACGTGAAAACGATATTAACAGAATCACCAGACACTTCGGGAAAGCGAAAGCAAGGCGCCGTACGGGTGACGGGTAAATACAGATGCCACTCCCTGCTCGGCTGCAGGTCGGGATGTGCGTAGGGAGCCCGCGATGGACAGCGCGCACCTAGCGGTGTCCGCGATCCCAACCAGAAACGTCAGAGGCGGAAAGCGCCGCCCGAAGCCTCCCGGTGGATTCCCGGGCAGACGGTGGTGGACCTGGGAGGGTGGGGAGTGGGGGGTGGAATTGCACAGGCAGGATTTCCTGAGACACCTTGCAAAAGCAGTAGGCTACGGAGGCACCGCTGGGATTCGAACCCAGGATCTCCTGTTTACTAGACAGGCGCTTTAACCAACTAAGCCACGGCGCCCACCGCCCGGTACCTGGCACCTTCTTTCCTTGGCCAGGTCAGCTTCACGGCAGGTGCGCGACAGGTTC